TTTCCCTCTGCAGGTCCCGTGGTCTCCTATGAGGTGACCCAGCCAGCATCTGCCTCAGTGACCCTGGGAGACACGGTCACCATCACCTGCCAGGGAGATATCAGAACTCATGGCGCTTCCTGGTTCCAGCAGCACCCGGGCCAGGCCCCTGTCACGGTCATTTACGGTAGTAGCACTCGGCCCTCGGGGATCCCTGAGCGGTTCTCCGGCACCATATCAGGGAACACGGCCACGCTGACCATCAGTAGGGTCCAGGCTGAGGACGAGGCCGACTACTACTGTACTGCATGGAGTAGCAGTGGATATTACCCACGGTGACGCGGGGCCCTGGGGAAGTGAGACACAAACCTGCCTGTCTGGCCTCGCCCCGGCCAGGAGGGGCAGACGGCGCCGAGCACAAGTCTGGGCCAGCCCAGATCTGGGCCCAGTTGCCACTTGCACCCTGGTCAGCGCCTGCAGACGGGGCCAGCGGACATGGGGTGACGGTTGCAGGCCCGGCTGCCCTGGCGCTCCCAGACCCTCCTATGCAGAGCCGAGGTGTGGGTACGGAGAGGCCAGGGAGCCCGAGCCCCTGCTCATGTCCCGGGGTTCCCACGCGGATGTCCCGGGCCTCCGTGGCAAAGGCACGGGGTGAGTCAGCTGTCCACACACAGCAGGACGTGCGCCCTCACCCCATCCCGCCCGTGGCGTGCAGGGCGATCGCCCCAACCCGGGGCTCTACGTGGCAGAGCCAGCAGACAGGGTGTGTCCCAGCGGCCCCCGAAATACAGAAATGTGTTTCCGACACCTGCCGGCGGTGCCTCTGCACAGCAGCATCGCTGAGCTCATTCAGCAGCGCGTTGTCGGGGTCACCTCAGCCTGACGTCGGCTGCGGGTCCCTGCGGGGTCTCGTCTTCACAGTCTGCAATGCGCCCCGGAACCCGGGAACCCCGGAATCCAGAAGGCCCAGATCCTGACGAGCCCCTCAGACCCCCGCGGCCACTCTGACCCCTGCCCGGCGCGGGGACACC